AAACTGAATATTATTTAATAATAAAATTTCAAAGATGAAGTGATACTTTAATCAGTCGGTCTTATGTAAAAACAACCTAGTTTGGTTTCAACTTGCTCTTGGTATTATAAACTGAAATTATTTGTATAATTATATCGTCGAGTCCCTTTTTCTTTAAATTCTTTTGGTTTGAGTAATATGACACAAAACCAAGTTTTCGTAAATGATGTTTGCGTTTCACCCAAACTACTATTTACTTTGATGATGATAGGCAAAATATAGATGAGCAAATATCCATAATTGTGACCCTATGTCGGCGGGTCAAGTTGGCATACACCAAACCAATACCTAATATATTTACGATATTTTTAAAACTTAAAACTATGAGAACATAAGATAACAACAATAACTGAAGACTCCGTGGCGTATGGCGTAGTGCGTAGGTCGACGGAAGTAAAATCGCGCACGTAACAAGTATTTACATCCTACAAATAATAATATTATTTATTTTATTTATTTATTTATCTTCACGCACCATCCCTGACGGGGTAGCCAGAGAGAACAGATCGCCAAGTGTCACGATCCTTACATACATATATACAAATAATAATATAATATACAAATACAATTTTCTGGGTCTGAATGTTCGTCTTTAAAAAAAGAGTAAAAAAAAAAGAATAATGCAATTATTTACAACTTATCTAGTAATGCTCTCGTATCCGATAATATCTGAATGTTTCTTTATTCTTTATTAGTGTCAACTCGCTTTAATATGTCATTCGAATAGCATTCATTTAACAACGAGATGATTACCTTCAAGCGAAAACCTTGAACGCGAGCTTGTGTCCACAACTTGCGTGAAAGAGACGTTTTTTGTTATTTCATACGTTAACAATTTGGGTTTACTTTTAAAGGTTGTTCGTATTAATATAAATCATGTAGAGGTTATTTTAGTACACGCGTAAATATCGATTCGTTCATATTTATCTTTTAAAATGCGACACTAATAAACTTTGATATTTTAAGTCTTGTAGAATTCAGATAAGCTTAGTTTTTTCTGGAATGTCCGTCTAGAGCTTTAAAGCTTTAAAAAGGATTTAATGTGAGAAATAAGCGTGATCTTGAAAAGTCTATAGTAAAGACCAACCTCTCCACTTAGCGTTCGAGATGTGCAATCATGTAACTACATAAGCTGCAAGTGCATACGTCTCTATGTTTTAGATTATGTAATGCTTTGCCGTAATTTGTCTATCAGATGAAATGGTGATGATCTCACTTAAAAAGATAAATCTGGCTAAGATTGGAACTCAATGTTCGCATGATACTGTAAATATAAGGACATGTTTTTTTGTTATTTAATATGTTTGGTATGATTTGGGTTAACTTAATTTTAAAAGTTTGTTCGTATTTGTATAAATCATGCAGAGGTTCTTTTAGTTCACGAGGAAATATCGATTCGTTTTTATAAAAACAAAAAAACTGATTTATCTTCTAAAATGCGAGAGTAAAAAAGATAGGACATGTGGTTATACCTTTTAAGCTTTACTTGAGTTGCGGTTAGTTCGGAAAAAGTTCAATATTGTAATGTACGCAGCGCTCTGTTTTCCTTTGTCGATTTGAGGAGACCAATAACTTACATTTATGTTAATCATCATTACAGCCCTTCACAAGTCCACTGCTGAACATAGGCCTCCCCCAAAGAATGCCACAAAGCACGGTCCTAAGCCACCTGCATCCATCGACTTCCTGCATGTCTTACCAGGTCGTCACTCCATCTCGTGGGGGGACGCCCTACACTTCGCCTACCGGTACGAGGCTGCCACTCGAGAACCTTTCTTCCCCATCGGTTGTCGGTTCTTCGAGCTATATGGCCGGCCCACTGCCACTTCAGCTTACTAATCCGTTGGGCTATGTCGGTCACTCTGGTTCTACTGCGGATATCCTCATTCCTAAGTTTATCACGCAGAGAAACTCCGAGCATAGCCCTCTCCATAGCTCGCTGAGCGACCTTGAGTTTCCTCATACGGCCAGCAGTGAAGGACCACGTCTCAGTTCCGTAAGTCATCACTGGCAACACGCACTGGTTGTACAATTTCGTTTTAAGGTTTTGAGGTATGTCTGACGAGAAGATGTGTCGTAGCTTCCCGAACGCTGCCCAGCCGAGTTGAATCCGTCGATTGACCTCTCGGTCGAAGTTGGACTTACCTAGTCGGACTATTTGTCCCAGGTAAACATACTCGTCAACAACTTCGAGCTTAGTGCTCCCAACAACTACCGGCATAGGTGTGACATGGACATTAAACATGATCTTTGTTTTGTCCATGTTCATCTTAAGACCTATCCGTTGGGAAACACTATTGAGGTCATTGAGCATAGTGCTTAGGTCCTCCAGCGATTCTGCCATAAGGACTATATCGTCGGCAAATCGAAGGTGAGTGATGTACTCGCCATTGATGTTGATACCGTATCCTTTCCAGTCCAGAAGCTTGAAAACGTCTTCCAATGCAGCGGTGAAGAGTTTCGGGGATATGACGTCACCCTGTCTTACACCTCTCTGCAATTGGATAGGTTTCGTATTCTGGTTCTGTACTCGGATAGCCATCGTAGCCCTACTGTACAAGCACTTCAACACTTCGATATACCGACAGTCAACTTGGCACCGCTGAAGGGACTGCAGCATCGCCCAAATTTCGACGGAATCAAAGGCTTTCTCATAGTCCACATACGCCAGACATAGTGGCAAATTGTACTCTTCGGACTTCTGTACAACTTGCCGAAGGGTATGTATGTGATCTATGGTGCTAAAGCCCTTTCGGAAACCGGCTTGTTCGGGAGGCTGGAAGTCGTCAAGTCTGCGCGCGAGACGATTCGTAATGACTCTCGAAAACAGCACGTAGACGCGGCTCAGAAGGGAAATCGGTCTGTAGTTCTTCAAGAGAGCGTTGTCACCTTTCTTGAAGAACAAGACCACCGCACTTCTGCTCCACGCCTCCGGTGTAATGCCACCATGGAGGACAGAATTAAAGAGCTTCTGAAGGACTTCAAGTACCGGTCTTCCACCCGCTTTCAGAAGCTCCGCTGTAATTCCATCCTCGCCTGGGGCCTTACCGTTTTAAAGGTGCTGGAGAGCCATCCTAATCTCGCTCAGACTGACATCCGGGATATCTTCGGAATAGTGTCGGATGAGACTCGCTCTTGGATCGTTACTCACACTTGCGTGTGGCTCCAACGATGATGTGTACAGCTGCCTATAGAACCTCTCAATCTCACTCAAAATCTCAGGTGTCCCGGAAACGATGCTGCCACATTCTGTCTTCAGCTTTGACAGTTGGCTCTTTCTGGCAGACAGATCTCTGGCAAAGACTTTGGAGCCTTGGTTTCGCTCGATCGCTTCTTCAATACGAGCTGTATTGAAGTTGCGTAAGTCCCGCCGCATGCATTTGGAGATCTGTCTATTCAGATGCCTGTATGCTGTCAAGTCTGTTGAAGAATGTAGCTTTATCTCCCGTCTAACAGCCATGAGATTAAGAGTGTGATCGGAGAGTTTTTGTGTTCTTCTGCGGCGGGTCTTGCAGAACTTAGCTCCGACCGCATGGACAGTTTCCACGAGCTTGTCATTCATATCGTCCACTTCATTGCAGTCTTCCAGGCACTGAAAACGGTTTTGTAACTCGAGCTGAAAGGTTTCGGGACTTTGGAACAGAGCACGAGGGGGACGGAGCGTTGACTTCATTAGACGAGACCTCTCCAACTTAACGTTTAGGTTCAGTGTGCCTCTAACCATTCGGTGATCGCTACCAGTTTTCACCCTCGCGATCACGGAGACATCACTGAACAGTTGTCGTCTGGTCGTCATAATGAAGTCAATCTCATTTTTTGTGGAACCGTCGGGGCTTGACCAGGTCCACTTCCTGTGGGGCCGCTTCTGGAAGAAAGAGTTCATCATAAAGAGTCCCTCTTTCTCCATGAAGTCGGCCAGCTGCTGGCCCCTTGGGTTCCGTTGCCCTATTCCAAATTTCCCTACTTTCAGCTCACCGTTCTCTCTTGTGCCTAGTTTTGCATTGAAGTCTCCCATTAACACCGTATATTGGGTTTTGGAGGAATGCATGGCTCTAGAGATATCCTCATACATTTCCTCCACCTCCTCATCGGGGTGTGCCGAGGTTGGTGCGTAAACCTGTATGACCTTCAGCGAATACCGTTTGGTGATTCTGAGTATAAGGTACGCAACCCTCGTGGACACACTCCCGATCTTTACAACGTTGTTAACGAGAGACTTGTGGACGATAAATCCGACACCTCCTTGGGACAGATGGTCGCCCTCCCGGTGATAGAGCAAGTTGCCGGATTCGAGGATTACCGTGTCCTCCCCCTCTCTTCGGACTTCGGATAATCCTATAATATGCCAGCGCAACTTGTCTATCTCTTCTTCCAGCTCCACGATCTTCTCGTCAGTCCTCAGGGTGCGTGCGTTGTACGTTGCCAGGTCGAGTCGTCTAAGGTGGCAACCGAACCTCCACCGGAGATTCTTAGCACCCCCTGCCCCGCCGTTACCATGGTCGCCACCGTAGCCAGGAATAGCGGGGCCGCCGGGGACTGGGGGCCGTTTCTTTCTTACTGTCATTCATAGGGGGGTATTTGCCATAGTTGCCACGCTTGGCGAGCGGGTTGGCAACCGCAGTTTTTTTATTGTAATTTGGCTATTATCAGGAAGATGCTGCTGCCCATCTCCTGCCTGTTTCCCTTTGTCGCCTTTTACGACACCCACGGGAGGATATGGGGTAGTGGATATTCTTGACCGCCACTACACGGCAATATAATATAATAATAAATAATAATATATTTATGTTAATATCCCTGTTTTATTAATATTTATGTCACTAATAAAATATTATTTTTTAGAAATTATTATTCATCACAAATTCACGTGTTAAGTTAAATTGTGGTTTGTCGCAAACTATCTTTCAAAAAAAGCATATTTTGTTTATGTTGTTAAATCAAAAAACAAACTTTTGTTACAGACGTGTGTTCACTGAAGCAATTTCAATGTGCGAATGGGAAATGTATACCATTATCGTGGGTATGCGAAGGTGACAACGATTGCGGCGATAACTCGGATGAAAATATCGAGGAATGCAAAAAAGGTATTTTTTTTATCTATACATAAAAATAAAATCGATGTGTATTAAAAATAATAATATGCAAAGCTTATAATATTCTTGGATTGAATTTTTTTTTTAAATTAAAATGAATGTTATGTTATATTTAATTTCAAAGTTGGTCAATATGGCATACAGTTTTGAAGTTTTGATGGAGTTAATAGATGTTTCTGCTATAGAAGTACTAAGGATGGGGAATCAATGTAATATTTGAAAGCGTTATTACCGCCTTTCGTTTGATTTAAAATTTTTCCTGTGTAAAAATTTATCCAAATTACTTTTAAGCCAGGTGCTACGAGGATGCAATCGATGTTATCAAATCTCTGACAAGTTTGAGGCAGTCCATTGCCCAGAGTGTACGCGCGTTATTGTTATTGTGAGAAATACGCAACTAGATCAATTAACAAGCATCGCATGTTTGCTTGCGATCTTTTCCGTCATCGACGCAATTATTGACTGTATATACATTTGTACCTAGGTACAGGTTCCCTACAAATTTACTAGCAGCTTTTTTGACATAAAAATATTTTAACTAACAACTAACAATTTAAACAACTAACTTTTCAAGCTTATATATTTTCCTTATTTGACGCGAATAAATTATTGTTCTTTTCTAATTGTTTTATTTTTATTTTTTTAATATTATTTTATCACTTATATATATATGCTGCTGCTAACTCTTATGTGAATCCGCTTCATTTATACGTTTCGATTCGTCATTGTTAACGGTAGTGTCCGGTCGTCCACGGGGCTTGTTGCTAATTCAAAACTTTCACATAGGCTCTCATCATAAGCAAACATCTCCTCTGATATACATAGGCTACCCTCAAGGCAACTATGGGATATATATTTGAATATCTAGATCAACGATACAATCAAATAAACGTAATCTTAGTGTGGTCTTAGGTTCCAATAGTTTTAAATTTAGTAGTGAAATGCCTATCTATCTGGCAGTATGTGATCATATTCTGCGCTCCAGTGCTGTTTGCTGCTATTCCATTTATTTTAGGTCTAATAAAGCGTTTTTGAAATTGCTATTACGTAATTATGCAGTGAAATGACAAGATGGCCCAATATTAAATTAAACTAATATAAAAATAACAAACATAAATCGTTTCTAGCATTTCTTTTTCAAAGTTATTAACATGTACATAATTTTATATAAGATATTATTACGTATAACGTTTGAGAGTGTTAATAATAAATTAATATTATTGCCATGTAAATGCTGTGTAAGAGACTTCATATTATCATTCCGTGTTTGTCGTAAGAGGCGACAGAGGGAAACAGAAACAGGAGATGGGTAGCAACATTTTCCTGTTAATAACTCAAAATAATTAAAAACATCCTGTCTCCAACCCGCCTGCCATATTGACAACTACAGAAATTATCCTCTCAGTAGTGGACTTTCACGGGCTTATGTTATAGATAATACATTTATAGCGTCTTCACTAGCTTTTATTCACTTAATAAGTATCGAAATTTATAACGTTGACAGCTGTTCACAAAGCCATCCTCTTTTCATTTGTGATATGGAATTGTACTCGAAACTTTTGTCCATTAAAACTAACTATTCGCCTGTCGACGTTAAAGTATCAATCGGGTCCCTTTGATCAGCCGCGAACAAAGGCGTCTCGCGTTGGCCATCCATTAATATTTATTGGGGAAAATGGCTCTGTCAATTCGTTGGTCTCCTAATTTAACATCTATTTCACCTTCTACCGCTCGATAAGTTATTTTCGTTATAATTTCTCGACATGATGTAATTTTGTCTTTTTAACGGAACTTTTAACTTTCCCTTGTTTCGATTCTCGTGAGGTGGCTGAATATATTATATATATATATATATATATATATATATATATATATATATATATATATATATAACTAGCTTATAACCGCGACGATGTCTGCAAAGAACACTTGCCGATAATTAATAGCGGTCGGGCAAGTTAGTTAACTATCAAAAACCACTTGAAACAATTTTTTTGCTATTATCTCGAAAACTATGTATATTTGGGAAAATTGTTAAAATAGAAATTGCAGATTAAAAACGATTTTTCTTTGTATAACTTCATTTAGCTGAGTAAGCAATAAAGTTTTTAATAATGGTTTATAACTTCAAATATGTGCATTAGAAAAATATTTTTTTATAGAATAAGAGTGACAAAGGAGCATGTGAAGAGACCGTACATATCAACACTTCCAATTGCAATTGAAATTTGAGTGGGGTCGGCGTGAATTGAAATTGGGTTGCTTCGGACTATGTAGTCTACCTGATGGTAAGTGGATGCTGTGGCCCATAGCTTATCTACATTTATCTTCGATTAAGGATCAAAATGCAGACGCGTTGTCACCCCTGAGCACTAAGAGATAAACGCTACATTTTAGAAGTCTTAATAAAAAAAAAAACTTTTGACTTTAAAAAAATTTTTTTTTTATTAAATTTTAGTGATCAGCAGACTAACCGTTCACGGAGAAGTAAGTTGTTAGTGCAGGCCGTGTACACCCGCAACCTATATTAGTCCCCAAATAAGCAACATAGCAATGAATACACCGCGAACACACTACTTAGCAACAGTGGCCCTATCAAGACGGGCTCTACGCCCCTAAGCAAAACGGAGTCCTTCCACGCAGTGTTAAATTATGTAGGAAGGTTCTTTCTTTATCTTTATGTAAAATAGTGTCAACATTGGGAATTCGTAATCGCAAAATCTTGCACATTCTAGTCTTTTAAATGATCTAAACAATTCTATTAAAGAAGCTGATTGTGTGTTGTCTTGATTGGTATTTGGCTTCTTTATTGATGCGAGATGACTGGTCGCGACGCGATGGCGCCCGTCTGTGTCACATTGCGCATGCGTCGACGTTTACTAAAGGATTATGACGTATCACTCTGTAATAAAACAGCAATTAAATACCGTATTATGATGGTGCCATAATGTTGCCACCGTTGGCTGCTGGCGCGTTGCAGCCGCACAAGAAATAATTGCGGAAATATCGTTTTAAATTTGGAAGAGTTATAATATTGTTTAATTAGGAAAGATAAGACATTCTCTGAAGATGAATGATATATAACTTTCAAATAAATTTGTCGATACGATACGCGCGGCTATATAGCAAGACCACGACAACCGATGGGGAAGAATAGTTCAAGAGTAGCAGCCTTGTACTGGCAAGCTCAGTCTTGCGAGCGACCCCCTACTAGACGGAGTGATGACCTGATAAAACACGCAGGCGGTCGATGGATGTGTGGCTCAGTACCGTTGTTTGTACTAATCTATAGAGGAGGTCATCACAGGAACTTTGTTTATCAATGGACCTGTGATGGGCTGTGTAATAGTGATAGTGTAATTGAACGACCTTGTATGGGTCGGTACGGATTAGAGTACCTACTTGGTTGCTACGCCAAAATCAATGTTTGATCACTACATAAATAATTGTTTTTTTTTCGATTGTTACGCTTTCCAAAGTCAAAAGTTGTGATTGTTAAAATTTCTGGTAATTTTTTATGGCTCTTTTTGTATTCGTTTTTACTATTATTGCTAGAAAGTTGTTTGCATTAATTTATATAGGTACTCATACATAGATTAGCAGTTTAATTTTGCTGTGTTCCGTATGGTGAGTGTAGAGAACCAGATACCCGTTTTATTGGAAACGAGGCATTCGAACTTAGTCGTCGGGGGTGGTAACGCATCTGCATTTTGATTCCTAATCGAGGATAGATGTAGATGTCTATGGGTCACAGCAACCACTTACGATCAGGTGGACTGTGTGCTCGTTTGTCACCCTTGTCCTATAAAAAAAACCTTTATTTAGATAATAAAATAAATTTGAAGCATTATGGAACATCACTTTATATAGTGTAACTTCCATATAGCCGTGATTATACTACAACCATCTAAAAGTATAAATCTTTTTCACCCAAATTTTTTTTATTAAATTATCGTCATTCTTAGCTTTATAAGAAAATTCATAAAACTTCAATAACAAAAATTGGCATTCCTAATCAGAACTTAGGTAGGCACCTGAATTGTATTTTAGCGAATAAAAAGGAAAGAGAAAAGAGGTAATTGGATTTTTATGAAACAGCGAGTTACTAAATCCAGTTCACTGAGCCTTGACGCCAAGTAAAGATAATAAAGGAATCTTTTGTTACAGGATAATGATCTTATGAAACATGTTACAGAAAGAACATAAAGCTCACTTTGTATTTTTATTTATCGTTATATATTTCAATTAATAATATTTATTATTTTTAGCAATATTCTTTATATAATTTACTAGCTGACCAGGCAGATGTCGTTCTGCCTGTTTAGACGATCCCTTGTTCTATAAAAAATCCTTAAATTCGCAATAAAAAATATTATGGGTCACTTATCGGGAGAAAATCTATCCTCTCTAAAAAAAGTAAAGTTGCAGCCTATTTACGTCCCACAGCTGGGCACAGGCCTCCTCTCATTTCTGAGAGGGTTTTAGGGCAAGGAAATGTCCGCCGCGCTGCCCCAATGCGTGTTGGCTGTTGGCGAACTTCACATGTCTTCGAAATATTTTTTTTCTTTTTTCTCAAACATGCAGGTTTCCTCACGATGTTTTCCTTCACCGCCGAGCACGTGGTAAATCAGCACTTAAAATTGCAATTAACAATTTCATTGGTGCCGACGGGGATCGAACCCGGGTTGTTCGAGTACTGTGAAGCTTACAGCGAGCGCTAACCATATGAGCTACCACGGCTCCTCTCTAAAGTTGGACCAAACTGCACACAGCATGAAAAAAATCTGGAAACAGTGAAGGAGAAATTAGGAGTTCATCGCGGACGAACAATGTGACACGTAATGTTTAATTGATTAACATTCATATATACTTTAAGAATGGCTCATGAAAACATGTGCATTTGCGCGAACAGATTAATTCAAATATAATAGGTAAAATTCGGTAATAATTTTACCTATTATACTGAGCTTCAGAACAGCCTTTTCCGAGATACCCGCATTGTAATCAGATGAAAAGACCTCATATTTGCAATTTAATAATATGTTGGTATAGCACCAAAAAAGAAAATCACAAAATGTACCCAATAGGTGGGCACTGCTTTCGAGTTATTAATAAATTTTATATTAACACTGCAATAAGTTTGAAGTGAATTCGGAGAAGGCAGACTAACGACTGACGGGCCTGCTAATTCCTGATAAGGTGGGTTTTTTTGTTTCATTTTTAGATCCTTAGCAGTACGCACGGGCGAAGAATAATTTTTTGGTTCTCTGAATTCGTAAACATTTAAATTGTCTTTTATACTGTACTAAGATGTAAAAAAGGGGTGCTAACTTCTTAGGAATATTTGCTGTTTGCTTTTAGAAATGAACGTAGTATATGAACACACTCCAGCATAACATCATTTTATAAACATCACACTTTAAGAATCATATTCCAAACATATTAATAGAAAAATCTATTATCGATCGTATTACGGCATATTTATTGATCAAAATCAATAATCTAAGATTAAGGCTATTTTGCCGCTTTGTCTAAATTGTATTTTGTGCGAAATGTATATAGGGTACATTACGGCTCAATATTTGTGAAAAAAAAAGTTTTGGAAAATAAAAATAAAAGAATTTCTTAAAATCATACTCTAACAATAATTTTGTTCTCCACTGTATTACATGATAGACGTTGGATACATTTCGCCATACTTTTTATGAAACTAAATTTCTAAAATATTCCTGGCTAGCATAACTGACATGACCGCCTCTCATTACTGAGCGAGTTTTGGAGCAAGGAAGCATTTATCGCAATTCTTCAGTACGAGTTAGAATATTTCACATATTCTCAAAATTTCGAGTTATCTTTAGATGTTATCGTTCAGCATCAGCACTAAATTGAAATTAACAATTTTATTATAGATAGGTGCCGGCGGGGTTCAAACTTGGTTGGATTGCGCCTAGTATGAAATTTTAAGGCATATGGTTATATTCTGAGCTACTTGGGTTCTTTTCAAAGGTAGTTAAGGTCATTTGAAAAAAACTCATCACTTTTTGGTTAAAATATATTTGAAAATTTCTATGTTCTTCATAGTTGTTTAAATGTGACGCAAATTAATTTTATATTATTGTTGTTAATGTAACTCTGTCCCACTACTTACATGTTGCTTTATTAGGAAACATTAATAACCATGACTGAGGATATATTTTATTTAGGCTAAGCCACTTTTGGCCAACTTCTTCTAAAAAGAATTTATTACCCTGAGTAGATTGAATTGTTCATCTAATCTATCTACGATTCCCAAAATTAATCTTGAACTTGCCTCACAATTGGCGAACAAAAGCGGGAATACTGCTAATATTATGAAACTATTTAAATTCGTTATTTCTGTAAATATTATAATTTTAGTATTTTATCGTGTTCATAAAATTTGATTAAAATTTGGCATATCATTGCGAACTTTTAGTATTCTGTAACAAAATTTGGCAAAAAGGAACACTTATTGGATCAACTCGTGTCCATCTGTTTGTCACAAACTTTTTCGACCATTTAAATTAGATAACTGAAATTCGGCACAGTCGCAATAAATAAGCAGTTACCATACAATAGTGTTAAGCCACTTTTTCCCTGGGGCGGTGAGGCGAGGCGAGGCAAGGCATGAAATGAAAACTGTATGGCAAAATTTTTGTTATTTTCTATGTGGTGGAAATGGTCTGAATTGACGCAAGCGTGTGGGACGAGAATTAAAATATTTGTTGGTATAATATTGAAGTGTTACGATAACTGTAATAAAGCGCTAATTAATTTTGCAACGGAAAGAAATCGCGGAAGGCGCGGGGTCATCGCTGGCTCGCGATTACCATCGCTAGCCGCGCGAGGGTTTGCGGGACAGCGTTTTGCTTCACGGCCAAGGGCTTCTATTCATTATCGACAAATACAAAATTTTAATTTTATATAAATTAACGCAACAACAAAAAAATATTAACAATATTTATCACAAAACGAACTAGACGCAAAATATTTTTTTAGGTATATTTTGTTGTGTGTAGTTCCATCTTTTGTGGACATTGATGACTGAAGATAATTTGTATCGGTATCCCATAAAGTACAAGCTATTTTAGATGTCGCTGCTTGTGATACTCAAGTAAGTTATCTGTGCATGTGAGACAGTTGCACGGC